ATGGTCAGAAACGTCCATCTTACCCGATATACAAACACATAAATATAGCCCTCGCTACATTCTATATATGGTCAGAAACGTCATCTAACCCGATATACAAACACATAAATATAGCCCTCGCTACATTCTATATATGGTCAGAAACGTTCATCTTACCCGACATACTAACACATAAATATAGGCCTCGCTACATTCTGTATATGGTCAATTACGTACGTGGACATCGCTGTTTCTTGCACTCCTGGGTTTGCTCGTCCGGTCCGGCACAGTTCGCCCCCTTGTAGGCGGGAGAGGGGTTCGCACAATGGCGGACCCGCTTCTGCTGGCCCATCCCACACGGCATGGAGCAGTGACTCCAGGGAGTCCAGCTCGTCCAGTTACCCGCCACTGTCAACAAAAGTACAACTCTTCTACTTCTGTTTCTATAAATTTGTGGCAGAATTTAATTGTACATAGGACTACGGTCGCCTTCTAGCTTCGAGCTAGAGGGAATTTCCCTTTAGCTCGGTGGTAGAGCGTCCGACTAGGTACCAACTGTACAGTCATGTGTGTCGTGGCATGAAAAGAAAAGGACAATGTTTGTATGAAAAGGAGCAGATTGCTGTTTTGAAGAAGGATAGAGTTTCTGCTCCTTGAAGATTTTAGGATTGATAAGGTCTGGTTCAGCAACTGTTGGTGGAACACCCTTAACTGTTTGTTAAAATCTAAGTGTTCAGGGCAATTACCATACATTGCTTAGCACTGATTATGTCAATGCCTTCAGGACTAGACCAGACAAACTGGTGATGAGGACATTACCTGATCCATTACGACCGTGGTTACACTACACTTTGAGACAACACTTTTACATATTTAAATATTTACCGGGACACATGACATCATTTAAACAGCTTGCATGGTCTGTTCTTGTGCTGTTACTCATGCTTCCGTCCTCATTCTCCAGGCGGGAAACTCGCTGTCGCAGTCCGAACTCGCACGTGGTGGAGCACGCGGTCCATTCAGTCCATGTCATCCATTCTTTCTCCGAAGACGCCACATGAATAGCTTTAAATATCAATTAAAACGCATACAAAATTACACAAAATGGGGCAGAAACCTAATTGGAAGAAATTAGTACACACATACTGATATACAATATTCGCACTGTATTCTTTTAAAATATTCAATCAAACCTCACAAGGAGGGATCGCATCCAATACGTATTACACAAATCTATGTATAAAATTAAAACCATTAACAGAATTGAGAGTTTGACATAATAGTTTGAAAATTATTTGATCACTGGCGCTTTAAAACGATCAGCGATAACAGTTTCCACGATCTTCCACATCCGTTTTGGCTCTAGGTACTACTTACTGTAACAAAGTAGAATGGCGATAGCTACGATACTGTTCCGCATCGTTCAGTCAGACGAATCGTTAACTGTAAAGAGTAAAGAAACAGTCATATACAACTCATCTTCGGAACCCTAGAGATCTGCTAGCCGTTCGGTTTGCTCACGTTTCGCTCTATGAACCCCTGAAACACGCCATAGCGAATTTGAAATCTCAATGTGCATCACCTTGTAGATAAGACGGAAAGAATTGTTTGATCCTTTGTTGTGCATCAAAAGAATCTGTCGGTCGCCAAACGGTAAATTTCACTTGCTTGAAGTCTGGCCTCGTTCCTCTGTTATCCTCAAAGGACTGGTATCATCCTAACGATAGGTCAGGTTGTTTTTACCTGCGACCAATCAAACAGCTATCTTCGTTACTTCAAATATGCTATGACATATTCCAGGGGTGCAGAGAGCGAAGGTGAGCGTAATCCCTTGAGTAGGTTTGATGCCATGGGACATGTCATAGCAATGCTCGTATATACACTAGTTTGAGGGAGATCAAAGAAATCATGCTGCAGAGAAACGGTGAAATGCACAGGTTTTATAGGTGGGTGTAGTTCATCTTTAATGATCAAAGAATATGTATAAGCCAACAGCAATTGGTCAGGTATTTATACCCGTAACCAATCAAATAGTGTACTCTCAGCCTTCGATTTTGTCATGACATATTTGAAGGTTACGTGTTTATAGTGGACCTCTACATGACAGCGTATGTTTGATGGTTTTAAGTGTCTTTCGATATGTATGAGTAGTGTGGGCGTAGTTAACTGTGGGTTACCTATGTATAAAATACTGGTGCTACACTTGGGACAGATAGAAGCTGTGTATTAACGGTTCTGATATCTTGATACTGGCCTGGAGACAGTAACATATTGCGTGCACATGTGTGATACCGTTATGAAGGGATACACTTAGGATAGACATGTTGTTCATTCATACCTACATGTTTGTTACACAACTCTCTTCGGAAATTTGGAGTCCAAAACAAAAATCCAGTAGAGCGTATTTTTTGGATTGATAAGATAAAATATATTCTGAAAATACATGTAACGAAATTCTGGATTGATAAGATAAAATATATTCTTAAAATACATGTTACGAAATTCTGGAATTTCATATCCGCGTTGTGACAGAAAAAGTGTATCAGGTGTAAGAATTATGCGTCTAGGCAGTGAATTTGTATTACATATACCCGTCTAACAGTCAATTTGTATACAGTACAGTATAAGCGTCAGTGTCTAGCACGTGAGATATATATGCGTCTTGGCAGCAAGTTTTATGAAATATAAGCGTCTAGCCAGTCGGACGTTTACAGAAAGACAAGGAATACAAGCAAGGACTATCATGTATGATCATAAAGTTTTTATTTGGATTTGCCTCAATGTTGACGTCATTTCGAAATTTCATAGAAAGAAAAATATGTGAATGCAAATTGAAACATTTAAAAAAAAGGCACATGCAGAAACAAGGTTAAATGTGTAAAAAGCACTATCATTAAAGCGGGCACCCAAACAGTCTTGTAATGTTCAAGGTGAATGGTGTCATAAATCATAAATATATGACGTCAATGAACAACTCAATAGATCTATTTCAATAACAATCCAGCGAGCAGAAACAGATAAAACATGTGACTTGTAAATATCACTTCAGAAATAAAACATCTCACCAGGCCTCGAACATGGATATACACACCAATTAGTTAGCTATATGTATACCCACAGCAGCTGTACCCTGTGTCCGACATACATACTACAGACCCTCAGTCATATATATCTACAGTGTCTAGAACCCTCTTACTATCATATATAATGTCTCACTGGTGCTACTACTGCTTACATGTACAAACACAACCTTTGCCTTAATACTTCATCTTAGCGCGTTGTGATACGATAGTCTGTATCATAACTGTCTACTTAAATAGGGGTCAATTAGTAAGATATATTCACTATAACAGGTGTCCACTATTCAGAGATATTCACTATAACAGGTGTCCACTATTCTGAGATCCTCACTATAACAGGTCTCAACTATTTAGAGATATTCACTATAACAAGTGTCCACTATTTAGAGATACTCACTATAGCAGGTGTCCCCTATTTATAGATATTCACTATAACAGGTGTCCACTATTTAGAGATACTCACTATAACAGGTGTCCACTATTTAGAGATATTCACTATAACAGGTGTCCACTAAATCAGAGATATTCAGTATACATGTAACATGTGTCCACTATTTAGAGATACTCACTATAACAGGTGTCCACTATTCAGAGATACTCACTATAACATGTGTCCATTATTTATAGATACTCACTATAACAGGTCTCCACTATTAAGAGATATTCACGATAACATGTGTCCATTATTTAGAGATATTCAACATAATAGGTGTCCACTATTCAGAGATATTCACTATACATGTGTCAACTATTTAGAAATTTTCTCTATAAAAGGTATCAACTATTTAGAGATATTTACTATAACAGGTGTCCACTATTCAGAGATATTCCCTATAACAGGTGTCCAATAAATCAGAGATATTCACTATGCATGTAACATGTCTCCACTATTTAAAGATACTCACTATAACATGTGTCCACTATTCAGGGATATTCACTATACATGTAACATGTTTCCACTATTTAGAGATACTCACTATAACATGTGTCCACTATTCAGAGATATTCACTATAAAAGGTGTCTACTATTTATAGATATTCACTATAACAGGTGTCCACTATTTAGAGATTTTCTCTATAAAAGGTATCAACTATTTATAGATATTCACTATAGTAGGTGTCCACTATTTAGAGATACTCACTATAACAGGTGTCCACTATTCAGAGATATTCCCTATAACAGGTGTCCAATAAATCAGAGATATTCACTATGCATGTAACATGTCTCCACTATTTGAAGATACTCACTAAAACAGGTATCAACTGTTTATAGATATTCATTATAGCAGATGTTCACAATTTAGAGATACTCACTATAACATGTGTCCACTATTCAGGGATATTCACTATACAACAGGTGTCCACTATTTAGTGATTTTCTCTATAAAAGGTATCAACTATTTATAGATATTCACTATAGTAGGTGTCCACTATTTGGAGATACTCACTACAACATGAGTCCACTTTTTAGAGATATTCACTATAACAGGTGTCCACTTTTCAGAGATACTCACTATAACATGTGTCCACTTTTCAGAGATCTATTCAGAAATATTCACCATAACAGGTGTCCACTATTTATGGATATTCACTATAACAGGTGTCCACTAGTTATAGATATTCACTATAACAGGTATCCACTATTTATAGATATTCACTCTAACAGGTGTCCACTATTTATGGATATTCACTATAACAGGTACAGGTGTCCACTATTCAGAGATACTCACTATAACATGTGTCCCCTATTCAGAGATATTCACTATAAAAGGTATCAACTATTTGGAGATATTCACTATAACAGGTGTCCACTATTCAGAGATATTCCCTATAACAGGTGTCCAATAAATCAGAGATATTCACTATAAAAGGTATCAACTATTTATAGATATTCACTATAGTAGGTGTCCACTATTAAGAGATACTCACTACAACACGTGTCCACTTTTTAGAGATATTCACTATAACCTGTCTCCACTATTTGCAGATACTCACTATAACAGGTCTCCACTATTAAGAGATATTCACGATAACATGTGTCCACTATTCAGAGATACTCACTATAACATGTGTCCCCTATTCAGAAATATTCACCATAACAGGTGTCCACTATTAATAGATATTCACTATAACAGGGGTCCACTATTCAGAGATATTCCCTATAACAGGTGTCCAATAAATCAGAGATATTCACTATACATGTAAGATGTCTCCACTATTTAGAGATACTCACTATAACATGTGTCCACTATTCAGAAATATTCACCATAACAGGTGTCCACTATTTATAGATATTCACTATAACAGGTGTCCATTATTTAGAGATTTTCTCTATAAAAGGTATCAACTATTTATAGATATTCACTATAGTAGGTGTCCACTATTAAGAGATACTCACTACAACATGTGTCCACTTTTTAGAGATATTCACTATAACATGTCTCCACTATTTGAAGATACTCACTATAACAGGTGTCCACTATTCAGAGATATTCACTATAACAGGTGTCCACTATTTCGATTTATTCACTATAACAGGTGTCCACTATTTAGAGATATTCACTATAACAGGTGTCCACTATTTAGAGATATACACTATAACAGGTGTCCACTAAATCAGAGATATTCACTATAACAGGTGTCCACTAAATCAGATATATTCACTTTGCATGTAACATGTCTCCACTATTTAGAGATACTCACTTTAACAGGTGTCCACTATTTTGAGATATTCACTATAACAGGTGTCCACTAAATCTGAGATATTCACTATACATTAACATGTCTCCACTATTTAGAGATACTCACTTTAACAGGTGTCCACTATTTTGAGATATTCACTATAACAGGTGTCCACTAAATCAGAGATATTCACTATACATTAACATGTCTCCACTATTTAGAGATACTCACTTTAACAGGTGTCCACTATTCAGAGATACTCACTAAAACATGTGTCCATTATTTATAGATACTCACTATAACAGGTCTCCACTAAATCAGAGATATTCACTATACATGTAACATGTCTCCCCTATTTAGAGATACTTACTTTAACAGGTGTCCACTGTTCAAAGATACTCACTGTAACATGTGTCCACTAAATCAGAGATATTCCCTATAACAGGTGTCCACTGCTCAAAGATACTCACGATAACATGTGTCCACTAAATCACCGATATTCACTATACATGTGTAAACTATTTAGAGATTTTCTCTATAAAAGGTATCAACTATGTATAGATATTCACTATAGTAGGTGTCCACTATTTATAGATATTCACTATAGCAGGTGTCCACTAAACCAGAGATATTCACTATAGCAGGTGTCCACTAAATCTGAGATATTCACTATACATGTAA